ACTCGCTACTTTACATTGTAGCAAAGTGGATGGCCGCTTAGGGCTTCCATAGTTTTCCATGATAGTAAGCTGAATATATTTAGGTTTTGGACTGTCAGTCAGATCAAACAAAGTATTCAAATATGTCAAGCTGCTATTGTGATGCACATTTTTCTTTCTGACATTTATTATTTATTAGTTGCAGCCCCAAAAAAGTTAAAATCAAAATCAATACAACGCACCCTTGTTCAGTTTAATACACTATGGCTTTCTCTGCTAGAGCCTTACTTTCTCTGGTATTTCCAGAAGCTTTGAATTTATCAAACCTTTGATAAATAGAAACTTTGTGACTGTGTTTTCTTGTGCTACTGTTACACACTAAATAAGCATTATCATATTGTCACATGTGGCCACAGTGGCTGCTGTTGAGGAAAAGTTACATAGGGTTGCTAAAACTAATATTGTAAAAGTTATTACCGCGCTGATTTTTAGATCGGCCAGCTGCGTCCAATTTGGTACAAAATGTGTTGGGTTGCTTTACAGCACAAAGAGTTTCTGGTTACAGTAGAAAATAATATAAGGCTGAATGGATAATTAAAAAAAAACACTATCATTAGCTCCTCTTCCAGCTCAGGAGGGTGGAAAAACACGTCAACACCTTTCACACTAGCCGAATTCAGCTGCCCACATCTCTGATTTTTGCAGCTATTAAAATGTGTATTAAAAGTGTAAAAAAAAAAAAGGCAATTCAGCTTGATTTTCAGTCTGCTTTGACAGATAGGGCACTTTCAAGTTCTCTCTTGACTGGCAAGAGTTACTGTTGCTTCACAACTCCAGTGCCAGGCGTAACAGATGGAGAGAGGCAGTGAACAGTTGGCCAAGTTACTGAGGCTTTACATAATGTCATGTTAGAATATGAGGAGGCCAGAAAAACAGTCAGGGGAAGTTTTATGTGGTCGCAGAACACTTTTAGAGCTTGTGTGTTATGAGTATGTGGCTGAAAAATTTCTACCTTACAGGTTCAAAAAAACTAGGCAAAGTTTATCTGGTGATGAAGATGATGTGAAATAATTGAAAGCCCCAGAACAGCATTTGAAGAAGAATTTGAAGTGAGATTATTTTGTCAACACACGGCTCCAGACTGCTACTATTTTAAGAGTGCGAATTAAACTTTGACATGGTCTCATTTGTGAGAGTGCAAGGTGGTCAATAGCAGCTCTACAGCGCGACCATTTCACTCGCAAAATGTTACTCAAGTGTGAGCACCGGTGAGCACACATCATCTGACCGGCCCTGAGCACAGAGAGAAATCCCGGTGGGCGGGAACATAAAGTTAATAAGCTCGTCAATATCACTTTTCTTCGACCAACCTTGCTACAGCAAGGTTTCAAATGATTAAACTTATTGTTCTGCATGTATGAATGTTGTGATTGTTGAGGAGTTATCACTTAGAATTAACAAATTAAAGAGTAACTCAACCACCATGTAGACTAGAGCATTTTTCTAGCATTTAATGAATGAACCCACAAAAAAACAAATCAGTTGGTGCGACCAGCTGAGAAAGTTGGTAGCACCAGTGGAAAAAATAAACCCTGTGTGTATTGATATTTAGTTTTTAATTGTTTTCGGTGTATTATCTAATCACATGACTTTTTGTGTCCTTGTACATTCTGGTGCTTGGCCCTCTACAGTGGTGGAAGGTAATTAAGTACATTTACTTAATTTACATTACTTTACATATTCAGATTAAAAATAAATACAAAATATAACCAATAAATCATGCCACCAATTATTATGTATTATTATATATATAGACTTTATTGATCCTCTGGGGAAAACTCACAAGCTACCCAGCAGTATATAAAGTAATTAAAATTGGCCCCAACTTTACCAGTTACAACATTAAAGTGATTTATGCTACACATGACTGGATCAATAATTATAATCCAATAATATAATATACATTATTCTGAAACGGGTGGTGTATTTTGGTATATTCAGATGCTAATACTTTTACTCAAGTAAAATTTTGAATGCATGATTTTTACTTACTATAGTTTTGCTATTTTTACTCAAGTAAAGTACTTTTTCACTGGCCCTATAGTATATAATATACTATGTGGTCCATAGATCCCACTTTTTTATGCTTACAATCTACCTACAGGAAAATGTTCTAGTGTAAAACCTGTCACTGTTGTTTATATAATCTCCATTTATATAACCTAAGTTTGTTTATATTTCAATTTGACAATTTCTTCTGTTTAATGTATCCAAATATATTTGCTGCTACAGTGACTCTGTTTTCCAATGAAGGGCATTAGAGTTTCACCCTATCTCTGCGTGTATAAATTAATTTACACAAAGCTTAACTTACTGCGAAATTGGAGCACAAGCTCCATAAAGACTTCTACCTTTTCGGTGGATTTGCTTTACCAGTCTGTTTAAAGATATATAATTGAGTCGTTTGGACATACAGTGGCTGACACATTATTTGCAAAAGCGCTATTGAAAGCTCTACTGTGCTCGGTGTGATTAGAAAAATGGAGCCTGACAGGGAAATTATGTAAACAGACTGTTTGATTTGAAATGAAGGTCATGTTGATTTCTGTTGTTTTGTGGGCTCCTGGGTCGCTATTATGTGGCCCCACTGCTTGTCCAAACATCCCGAGTGCTTTTAACATTCATGTGTTTTGATTGACTCTGATTACACCTTCTATTACATTCAGTGCTAAGAATTTGCCATGTCAGGAGGCGAGGACGCAGTAGACCTTTTTCATGACTGTGCCGTCCAGCCTGAGATTGCTTTCTACAAATGAAACCATGGTGCTTTTGATACCTGCAACATTTCAGTACAAGCACATTTAGAAATGTGCTTTTGGGCAGAGACATTTTCAGCACCTTGAACCAGAGAGGATTTGTGGTGAATTGCGGATGTATTGATTGAATTAAAACACATCCAGTTACTGTTAAGCCTTAAGCAATGAATTGCTGTCGACTCTTTTGTAACCTGAAGGTGATTTTATTTTATCTTGTCTCTGTCCTTGCATTGTTGGGGGTTGATTTGTGCTGTTGCTATGGGTAATGCACACATGGTGCAATTCCCTTGTTCTGTGTGTGTGTGTGTGTGTGTGTGTGTGTGTGTCCATGTTCTGTATGACTTGGGGGAATTGCTTGGACAGCATCCTAACGTAGTCATCTATATGTACACATTAACACAAGGACCTTCCTCCACCCCTGAAGCCGTAGTTTACCAAGACCGCTAATGGGCACCTATCAAGTCTCAATCTTAATGAGACAAAAGGAAATCACATTAGAGCTTCAGTGATTCACCTAACTAGATTGACAAACACAAGGATGTTTTCCTAACCAAGATGAATAGTCCCAATCATGCCATTAATTTATATGTTCCGGTGTCGTTATGGATACTTGATTAGCCATCTAGACTGGAGGAGACTGGCGTCAAAGCGGAGGAATGAGGCTGGTTATGTACTGTCTGGTTAGTAAAAATAGGAAACAAAGCATTACAGGTGCTTGGTTCTTTTCCCTGTAATTGCTGATTATGATTAAGCCAGTGGAGGACGGTGTGAGTCCAAATAAAGCAGCAGGAGGATCATAGACACTTCACTGAGATTATCCCACAGAACAGTCTACCCACTTTCATCCTTAAACACCTGTGCCACTATGTCAACATGTGAGGTTTGTTTTAGTGCTGCAATTATTTCCGTTAAACTGCAGATTAACTTCTTAATCGGTCATCGATTTTAAGTTGATAAAATATTAGGAAACAGTAAAAGATGCCCACAACAGTTTCCCAGATCCAATAGATCATGCCTTCAGATTGGCTTGTTTTGACTGTCCAACAATCTAAATTTTCAATTTACAATCGTAAATCAATGGAGAAAAGCAGCAAATTTTAGAATATGTTTTGCATTTTTGCTTGAAAAATTACTTAAAACAGTGAATCAAGTATCAGTACAGCTACAAACAATTAATTCCATTATTGATTTATTTTCTTGATTAAACAACAAATTTATGGTCTGTATAATTTCTGAAAATAGCCAGTAGTTGGTGGTAGTTAGTTTATGTCTTCAACTTGCTTGATATGTCTTATTTACCTTCCAAATTCAGTTATATCAAGTTTACACAAGCAGCTGCTAAAATTATTCAATCAATCAAATTGAAACTATTAATAACTATTGAAATTATTTTATAATGGATTAATAATTTAAATCATTTTTCATGGAAAGATGCTGGACATTCGCTTTGACGGTTCGCCGCCACTGCCTAGGATAGTAATGGACATTTTTCAGTTTTTTGACGATTTATATACCAATTGATTTTAATTTAGAGAATAATCCATAAATTATTCTATAATGAGTATTGTTTTTGCAACAGTCGTGGAAAAGCAGCAAATCTTAACATTCAACAAGCTAGAAGAAGTAAATTTTTGGCACTTTTTCTTAAATAATTCATTATTGAAATACTAATCTGAAACTTGTTCAAACTCAGTTTTTTTTTTCTTCCAAGAATACAGTGGTGCAAGTGTCAGTCATGTGACTTGTCATCCCCATGGTTTTTAATGATACCTTAAATCAAATCATCTTACTTCTTGTACCTCCCACTTTTTCCTGAGTTAAAAAAAAAACAAACAAAAATACACAGAACAGCCCCACACACTCATTCCCAAACCTACTAAAGTATATTTAAGATTCAGGATCAATTTAATATCCTTTTTATGGGTGTTAAAAGCTTCTCTTTTGCAACCACATTGAACAAAATGTACTGTACAGCTTTGAGCCTGAACCATAAAAGCTCTGCTGACAACTGATGAACCCCAGCGCCTGTTCCATGATTCATTAATATAGTAACTCAGGCTACATTTAGTATTAAGTGATAATGTGAAAACGTTAGAATTTATAATATGATGTTACTGAACAGTAAGCAGGGTCAGTTGACAGCTGCTTCTGGGAGCTGTTTAATTTCCTGCCATAATAGCCACATCAAACAGAATCCATACTCACCCTTTATGGATCTGACAAAACACGATCCTGCAGCGTTAAATGGGCGTTTGGCCAGCTCTTTGATATCTGTTTTTCCTTTACTCCTTCTTCAGTCTGGCAGAGTTGTCTCAGTTTCTTCTCCCTGTGTCTTTCTCAGCTCTGCACGTCTTCTCTCTGTTTCCCTCTCACAGCGTTTGCCTCACACCTTCCCTCGCTGACTCGCTCTTACCCTCCCCTGTTCCCTCTCGCTGACTTTTTTTCCTCTGTGCTCGTCTCTCCAACGAGGTGAAAAACACTCTTGTCAAATACAGGTAGGTCATCACACCGTCTCTCATCCTCGTCAGTTGCTAAGTACGAGGCGCTTTGATGCAAACAAGTTTTTTAGCATCGTCGTTTGTTACTCTGTAGCTCCTAAACAGTCCAGTGTCTGTCTGAGACAAGATGGTAAGTGCAACAGCTGTTCAGTGTCACTGTCCATGCAACAGAGCAGCTTTGGTGCCTCGTTGGTGGTGTTCAGACCTTTTTCACAGAAGGGTGAATTACTGGAAATGGCTCCTGGTCCTCAGCAGTGATAATCAAGAGGTCGTCAAAGCTTTTCCATTTTTTCTCTGAATATGAACTCGTGAGCTAAACATCTTCTGAGAAATCGATGAGTGGCAAAAGTCGTTAGTCACCCTTGCTACAAAGTTAGAGCAACTCCCCTGGAGAGGAAAGCAGAGTAAAGCCTCTTCAGTCCTCAAGGCTGCACTGAGTGAAATGACTTTTCGTCTCCTACCAGGCGTCTGCTTGCTGCACCTGACAAAGCTGCTTGGATGCACGCTGCACCAACGTTCTCAACCAACACACGGATTCAACCGTGAGCCACTATTAGGAGAAATTCCCACATGGCCGGAAGCCTCATCCTGTATCAGAGCATTGAGCAACATGTAAGAGGAGGGTGGAAGAGGTGAGGAGGTGGTGTAGGATGAAGCAGAGGAGGGGGAGGAGCTGGAGGAGGAGCCGATGTGGGTGTCAGCAGCAGGTCAGAAATGGCCTTTGCATCAGCAGTGCTTACAGCTGTATGTCTTCATCAGAGAGGAAATGCATTCGTACAACTGCTGGCTCCTCAAACAGCGTCACATGTCCAACTTCATGGTGACTTAATCCACTGATGTGTTTGACCATGCGCCCTCTTTTAAAGGTGGGGTGAGTGACTGTGGAAGCCGTCAGTGGCGACTGGTGATTAGAGTTTTTAAACTGCTCAGGTTCAGTTTGCCAGGCTCTAATGGCCTCATAGTAAGTGCTTTTCATTGTGTGCTTTGTTTCTTTTGGAATGACCTTCCATTTCTCTACTGTAATTTCTAATCTTATCTACAAAAAGCTAGTATCAGCCAATATATCAACCCGGCTTATTTATCGGTGTAGCTGTAATCTGTAGTTAGGAAACAGTTTTTTGTCAATTACTACCACTTAGGGCTGGGCAATATGACCTAAAATCAATATCATAATTAACTGTCACATTTAAGTTATTAAGGGTAACGTGTTATTTATCAGGAAATTCAAGCTAAAATGTTATCTCACATCTCTTGCAATTAACTATATTTATTATAAATATTATAAAGACCTATAAAAACTAGGGGTGTGAATCACCAGAGGCCCCACGATACGATATTATGACGATATTTATGTTGTGATTCCATTTTATTGCAATTTTAAATATGTTGAGATATATATTTCAATTTATTACCTTTTTCCAACTTCCAGTTAGGTCCCTAAAGTCAAACTTTGTCAACATCTGTTTATCTAAAAAGAGACATTTCTCTGTTTGTTCATATTACTTTTTCAGTCCTCTATATGGTCCTGTTAAGTTTTCTAGTGGACTAAAAAAAGCAATAGATTTTATTATTCTAGTACCAAAAAGTTAAAACTCCCATCTGGTATTTATATAATAAAATATCGATACTTGGCATCTGTGTATCGATATAGTATTGCCATGGCAAATATCACGATACTATGCTGTATCGATTTCCCCCCCCCCACCCCTAATAAAAATCTCTATAACACTCCTGTTATTTTGGTCCATCAGCATTATGTACCAAGTCTTTATCATCTGTACTGGCCACAAGCTACATTTCTCCCACATTTTAATAATTTTATCTGTATGAAGGAATTAAAGGGATCGTAAGTGATCCAGTGTACTTTTTGTTAAATTCAGCGAATATTTCCTCACGGTTTGCTAGCTTTTTGTTTTTGGGTATATAAAAATAATCTGGTTTTCCTACACAGCCCCGGCTCTGTAAATGGAAAACAAAGAAAGTGGTGTGGACCTTGCCACACAACATTGTTCCAGCCAATTGGCAATAATAATAATAAAAAAACTAATAATTAAAACTAAACCCATACTTTTTCACATTGTTACAGTCTGTACAGTAGTGAGAGGTTTGCAGCAAAGATGGCAGAGTTGTTGCGGAAACTTGTGTGGAAGCCTGGCATTTATTTAAAGCAGCCACTGTACAACATGGAAAGTTGCTTAAGCTAGCAAAGTGTGACGTCACTGGGTTTATGCCATTTAATCTAGTGAAATGAAAATGCAAACAGGGCGTGAAATGTGTTGCTACCAATGCATTAGTTTCTGTTATTTTAAAACACCTGATTGGGATGGTCAAATATGGAGGGAATCTTTAGCGGCAAATGTGCTTGTTTATGTTTGTATCCTACTGATTTACTATATTAATTAAATAACATGTAATAACACAGTCTTGATATATATTTTTTTCAAAAATCAAACAAATAATTTAATCTGCTTGAACACCATGGTAGAAATGTGAGTTCCTGGAATTGAATGTGTTCTGCTACTAATAATAATAATAATTGTGGGCACTCGCCATGCATGCATAAAATCTTTTCACTACAACAGAGGAATTGGTTTTGAAAGTAGTCACTGTATTATACAGTTATTATAATGGAGGATTTGATGACCAGCAGACAGGAGGACCTATTGAAGTGCCACAATTTTTCTAGCTCCTACATCTTGCCTGAGCGTCCAGAAAGGACACAGTTGTTTCATCCTCGCTTTGTGTGATTGAACTGGTTGAGTAGACCGGGTGCTGTGCATTTCTTTGAAACAGCTTTTCTTTCATGTGACCATATCTTGCATGTCCCACAAAGCCGGAAGCTAGCTATTGATTATCAGAAGAATGCGATACAAGGGAAATGAGGCATGTCTAATGTATTCCTCCAGTGAGTTCATGTAATGAGTCATGCAGTTTTATAGTGATTGCTTAATTTCCATAGATTGGACACATCTACCTCCAGAGTTGACCTCTGTGACACCACCACTGTGTCACTGTGCTGTTAACTCCCGCTATTATTATGAATAAGGGATATCGTAGGCTTTAGTGATTGATGGGAGAACAATACAGTAGCCATCAATTATGAGCCTGTGTATTATCATGCATATCAGCATGAGGAAAAAATACTGTTTCTTACAACCCTTACTACCCCCAATGTAGATCATATTTTGTATAAAGGATCAAAAGCCTTTGATGGACAGATTTGCTTTCTTGAACTGGCCCCATATCTTGTTCCTCCAAAATCCTTTGAATATGGTAAGCAGTAATCTATTGATCTCGTCATGTTTTTTTTGTCCAGTTTGTCATTTAACACCTCGGATGATTACTGTTTACTTTGGAATTTATTCAATGACTCGTTCTGTGGCTGCCCAATGTCTGCATGTAAATAAACTTGTCAGTAGCCTATGAAATGCAGTGATACATCTAATGCTTCCATGAATTAAAATGTAATGGTTTCTCACATAAGTGTTGAATAGATTATAAACTAGATGTCTTCTCACAAGACTGTGTATTTATTTTTCAATTGAAACATCATTTGCATTTTAATGATTGTTATAGTTGTGTTTTTTTCAAAAGAGAGAAAGGTAGGGAGAAAGAGAAGGAGAAAGAAAGTAGCTTTTTATTCTTTTTGCATGGACTTTTGTATTCTAGTTATGGGGGTATCACGTTGCTCAGCCTCCCAAGGAAAGCTTATGCTGTGGAGCTGGAAAGAGCGCTGTGACCGACTGTTGAACCTCAGATTCAGGAGGAGTAACGTGGCTTCGACCTGGTTGTGGAACAGTCAGTGACAAGCACTGTATTACATGGGATTTGCCCATTCCAAACTGAGATACGGGTGGAAAATTCCCTGGAACCTAATCTATCAGTGAAATCTAGATTACTCTTGTTATTTGTACGCAGCCTTTAAAGCTGTCAAAATATTGGTATTGAAGTTGGCTATGGATTTTTGTCCACAGGTGATTTACAATTATGTCAGAGCTACATTGTCAAATAACCTTTAATTCCCCAAAGCTGAGCCAGTTATTTAAAAAGAGTGCGGTATTGAAAGAAACATCAAATTAGTCATTTAATGGTGTGATTCCCTACCTCAATTAAAGATAATTGCTTTTGTGTGCTTCACACCTCCCACACTGTTTTGCCTGTCTTGTGGTATATGGCACATACAGCTTTCCACCAGATGCACAGCTTCCAAAAGCCTTTGGTTGTCATCCTCCTTCTGCCTGAACATTTCTGCATTGAATATCAACTCAGGCTGCTCATTAGCTGTGACCAACCAAACGTTAACATTTGTCATCAGTCAGGATGACCCTTCAAGTAGCATTTTGATCTACCACTGATGTAATATTCCCTCCAGTGTAGATGATACAACTTACCAAATTTTATATAAGAGATCAACAGCATTTGATGGACACATTTGCGTTCTTGAACTGGCCCCATCTCTCTTTCCTCCAAAGTCCCTAAGAGCTGGCCTTTGAGTTAGACCTCAGTCTGTAATTAGGGGAACCAAGATGAACGAATCATTAAAAGCTCCAACTGAAGCACAAGCAGAGCTGATTGTGGGGCATTTGTACCTCACAGCATTTCAGCAAGATAGTCTTGAGATCTGAAAAAGATCTGAAAAGATCTGAAAAAAAAAAAAAAAAAAAAAATGAAAAAGATCTGCTAATGGGAAGCGGTAGCCACTTCTATTCTATTGATCTTCTCATGTTTTTTTTTGTCCAGTTTACTTTACAACACCACGGATAATTGCTGTTTACATTGACATTTATCTAGACCTTTGACTCTTTTTATGACTGTGCAGTGTCTGCATGCGTGTAGATAAACTCATCAAGAGCCAATGAATCAAATCAAAATGAAATGGTTTCTCACATCAGTGTTGAATAGATTTTAAACCGTCATCTTGTTGTTACGGTATTCAAGTGGCATCTCTTAGATGATTAGTGATATGTTGATATCATACAGGTGCAGTATACAAGAGATATCTCAGGTTCTTGCTAATGTGAGGCTGTTTTTGTCAAATATTTCCTCTCTGTGGACCTTCCTTTTGAGTCATGCTCCAGAGAGTCCAGTTAGACAAACAGAACCATGAGTTTGAAGGCATACTCATGTTGCTTAGTAATATGCCACTTGCATTGATTACTTGATTGGGTTGTCCAATGCAGCTCCTTGCTGGATGATGCTGAGTTGCGGTCCTGCAAAACTTGAGCCAGGCGCATGTTTTTCTTTTGTTGGGTGACCCTGTGTTTTAGTTTTTTCCTGAGCCTTTGCACCCCTGCTACTAACGGAGAGGTTTCATTCAACTAAACGAGGGTCCTCTAAAAACATTTAACAGAAATGAGTCTATTAATCGACATCAGAAACGATATTGATGAACAGTTACGCAATTTGTTGGGAAAAAATACCAAAACTTTTAGGTTGGAAAATGATATGATGGTGATTTGTTTTGTTTTACTGCATTGTAAATTAAATATCTTCAGCCATCTTTTGGGCTGTTGTTCATTTCATCACATATTTAATGAACATTTTCACTGATTATGAAAATAATTGTTGCAGCCTTAATAAAGGTTAAAGCTCATTGTCATAGAAAACATGAATAGACTGGACACACTATCTTGTTCATTCACTATAAAGACTCCTTGCCGGTGAACAGAACAGTCTCTGTGTAACCACAAGCAAAATGAATGATCCTACAAACTGTATTTGTCTTGTAAGTGTGTCTTTACAGAGTGCAGGTGGCTGTGTGTGTTTTGTCTTTTGAGACTGCAGCATCATGATTCAGTCAGACTCAGACAGTTATGAGCGTCTCCTGATGAATTTACTAC